TGGGGCTCCCGGGTGTCCATTCTGGATACAGACCCTGTGCTGCGCCCATGTGGGTGTGGAGTGGGGCTCCCGGGTGTCCATTCTGGATACAGACCGCGTGCTGCGCCCGCGTGGGTGTGGAGTGGGGCTCCGGGTGTCCCTTCCTGCATCAGACCTCGTGCTGTGCCTGCAGGAACGCTTCGTGGTACACATCACCGACGTGCTGGCCGTGTCCATGATGCTGGGCATCACGGCGCAGGTGAAGGAGGCTGGCATCGCCTGGGACAAAGGAGAAAAGAGGAGTAAGGACGCGGGGGTGGCCCGGCCTTGCTTAGTGGAGGGGTCTCAGGTCCAGGCTGGTGGCCGGTGGTTCTCTGTGGCTGCACTGTCCTCTGACTGCCCGGGAGGAGCAGTCCCACAGCACAGCCACTCAGGGACACAGAGCCTGGAAGCTGCCGTCCCGGTTCCTGTCCATCCAGACCTCACCCCAGCTGCAGAATCAGGCCCTGTTCTCCCTGAGTGTCCTTTGTGTGCTCCAGCTCTGGCCCAGCGTGGGGACACTGCAGGCATGGTGGCCCCAGCCGTGGGTGGGAGGGGAGGGGAGGTGGTGTTTGGGGCAGTCTGGGTGTTTGATTGTGGGTTTGCAGGAAGACTGGGCTGCAGAAGCCCTCTCAGCCATTGACCGGAGCGAGTCACTCGCGACACGAGGATTCCGGTCACCCACGTGTGTGTCAGGGTTACTCCATGCTCCCTGGGGTGTTATTCCAGCCAGGAATGGTCCAGAAGCTGGGGGTGCCCTGAGTTACGCCCTCCCAAGTACCAGCCTTGAGCTGGAACCCTAGGGGTGCCTGTAGCCCCTAGCCCATGGCTTGGATCCTGTGGCCCCTCAGCCCATGGCTTGGATCCTGTGGCCCCTCAGCCCATGGCTTGGATCCTGTGGCCCCTCAGCCCTGGCTTGGATCCTGTGGCCCCTCAGCCCGTGGCTTGGATCCTGTGGCCCCCTCACCCCGTGGCTTGGATCCTGTGGCCCCCTCAGCCCGTGGCTT